GCGTACAATGTCTGAAGGCCAGTATTTCTCCAACTCGCCTCGCCGAGGTGACAGCAACCAAAAAGGCCGTCTTCCACAACAGGAATTTTAGGTCGCAAGTTGCAAGCGGCTCAAAAGGTTTCCTCATGAGCTGACGAAGAACTAGAGGAAGGTCCCAGGGAACGACAGGAGTTTTGATGGGAGGGTAAAGGTGCAACAGTCCCTTCAAAAAACGTTTTGAAAGCGGATGCGAGAACAGTGTGCATCCCTCAACTTGAACATGGTAGGCCAAAAGTGCGGCCAAATAAACTCTTAATGAGGAGTGAGAAAGTCCCTAGTCAGTGAGAGACAGGAGGAATTGGAAAACTTTCTCGAAGCCTACGGAGGTGGCTCGAGGGGCATCCTCACCCAAGGAGGAACAGAATTTTTGCCATTTGTAATGGTACGACTTTCGCGTAGTAGGCTTTCTGGCGTTTAGCAAAATGTTCACTATGCAGGTGGAAAAGCTGTTGATGGTATTCTCCAGGCTGTCAACTTCATCCGTGGCACGTCGTGGTACAGGAGAGGGGAGTCGGACAGGAAGAGGAGGTCCTGTGCTGGAGGAAATTGGTGGTAGACCCCTGCTGACAGATCGAGGATGGTCAAGAACCACGGCTGCCTCGGCTACCACAGGGTTATCAAGATGCAGTCCACTCCATTGCTGATGATTTTGCGGACCACTCCCAGAAGCAGGGGTAGTGGAGGGAAGAGGCAGAGAAGTTCCCTGGACTACGGATAGAGGAGACCGTCCCCTAGCGACTGTGGGTCCCTGCTGCCTCAGCTGCAGAACAGAGGACACTTTTTGTTGGCTCTGGTGGCAAAAACATCAACTTGGGGAACTCCCCACCTGCGGAAGAGTGGGAGGAGGTAAGTTGGGTTCATTTCCCACTCGTGGAGACTGAGTCCTGCTCGACTCAGATGGTCTGCCTGCACATTCATGTGACCTGGGATGTGCGTGGCTACCAGGAAGACGTTGGCAATGCAAAGGTCCCATAACTGGATGGCAAGGTTGCAAAGTCGTAGGGAGACCATGCCCCCTTGCTTGTTGACATAACTGAGGGCAGTGGTGTTGTCCATGAGGATCGTAACACATTTCCCCTTGATCAGAGGAAGGAAACTGGTGACAGCGAACTGTATTGCAAGCAGTTCCAGGAAGTTTATGTGCCATTTTTGTTCGTGAGTGTTCCACTTGCCTGTGACACAAAGACCCATCATGTGGGCACCCCAGCCTGACAGGGAGGTGTCTGTGGTTAGGGTGATTTGGGGTGATGGATGATGGAAGGGTGCTCCCTGGAAGAGATTGGAAGGGACAGTCCACCAAAGTAAAGAATCTCATCTGTTGGGAAGGGGTTAGGATGGTGGTATGTGCGTTTTCTGTTCGGTCGTACTTGCGGATAAAACACAGTTGTAGGCGACGCATTTTTAATCTGGCAGAGACCAGGACCGACGTAGTTGCGGTCATAAGGCCGAGTAGCCTCTATATTTGGAAAGCCGTGACTGAAGGCTGGGTATGGATGAGATTGGGTAGGTGAATGATGTCTGCCGCCCTGTTTTGTGGCAGGTGAGCCATGCAATTGTTGGAATCTAGTAGGCCACCGATGTACTGTATTTTCTGAACTGGTTGAAGTTGAGACTTTTCCCGATTGACTTGTAGGCCCAGGTTTTCCAGGAGTGCCAGTGTCTCATTGATGTTTGAGACCAGGGCGTCCTTGGAGGATGCTACCAATAGCCAATCGTCGATGTACGGGTAGATGGAGATACCCCTGAGACGGAGGAAAACCGCAGCCACAATCATAGTCTTTGTGAAGACTCTTGGGGCGCTTGAAAGGCCAAATGGCAGGGCTGCATATTGGTAATGCTATTGACCAATTGTGAAGCGTAGGTATTGGCGGTGAGAGGGGTGGATGGTGAGGTGGAAGTACGCGTCTTGGAGGTTGAGGGTGGCCATCCAGACGTCCTTCTGAAGTGGCATAATTTGCTGCAAGGACACCATGCGGAAGCAGTGGTAGGTCACAAAGCAGTTCAGCGCCCTTAGATCTAATATTGGTCGAATGCCTCCATCTCGCTTTGGAACTGTGAAATAGTGGGAATAGAATCCCTTCCCGTGCAGATGAGGTGGTACCTGCTCAATGGCTCCCTTGTGCAGAAGGACGGACACTTCTTCCAGGAGAGGTGGGGAAGGGGGTGTGGAGATGAAGACAGGAGTAATGGGGTTCTGGTGGAATTGGATATGGTAGCCTCGGGTCAAGATGGACAGCACCCACTCATCCGTGGTGATATGACATCAGGTGTGAAGAAAAGGAGATAGACGGGTTTGAGCTGACTCGGTGGGAAGGAAGTCAAAAGCCCTACTTAGAGGACTTCGCCTGCTTAGTGCAGGAAGATTGTTGTCCAGATCCAAACCTGGGTTTTTGAAAGGTGGGGGTTTGGCCTCCTGAAGACGTACGCGGTCTCCATTGTCTGTCAGGAGACTGACGATTCGGAGTGCGCTTTTGCCAGGGCCTAGACCAAGTGTGAGGGCTCACTCTGTCATGTGGCACTAGGGTCTCGAACTGCTGAGATACCGATCTTCTGATCTGCAACTCAGTGTCTTAACCTCTGAGGTGAAGATGGGTGGCGGATAAAACATAGGTTGGTGGGTGGGTGGGAAGGAAAGGAATCGGGGAAAGGTGAGGATATGGGGCCTTTTCAGAAGGAAAAGAGAAGATAGTGTGGGAAGGGTGTATACAGGGGAAGATGATGTCCCTCTCTCAAGTCCTTCCAGGGAAAGATAAATAATAAAAAGTGGGAGAGGGAGAAAACATGTCCCCTGCAAGTCTTTGGGGGTCCCATGCTTGTTGCATATAGTTCTGTACATTTCACTGTGGTGGTGGGATGCATGATTAGGAAATGCATTGTTCAGTTCTTTTTATTCCAGTTCCTCTGCTGTAGCCCTCAACATTAAAACAGCTTTTGCAATCTTTACACTATTTGGGGCTGTTTCAGCTCCCAAGGTAAATGCCCCAAAGAATGGTCTATTTCAAATGCTAAAGTTAACAGTTTTGGAATTTTCTTGGGTGAAGGACTGCCACAAATTTGTGTGTAAACAGCTTAGAGCTCCTGGGAGGAATTGTGAGGCATCAATATAGTAAATAAAAATATATGTATATTGAATGCCCATTTTCTAAGGAATTTGACTTGAAGAACATCAAGATGTTCTATATGACCAGTATACCATACTGGAGCAGCATATCGAACAATCAAATGTATAATTACTCTATAAATGATCATAAATGCTAGTACAAATTGCCCTCCTTTGCAATAAAAGAATTTAAAAAAGAAAATAAAGGAGTTTAACTTCTGCATTAACATATGGATATGCAAATCCCAAGATTTTATGAAAATGTAACCCTGAGGTACTTGGAATTTCTTACTATCTCAGTTGAGTTTTCCTGCAGAGATAAAGAATCTCAGTTGAGTTTTCCTGCAGAGATAAAGAATGCCTTCTTTTAGGTTTGGACTTAGCGATTAGTACCTTTATTTTATTGAACTTTATTTCTAAGTATTCTTTGAAGCAGAACTCCTAACACTCATTCAATATTTTCACTAAACCTTAAGAGTGTATGGACTAATAAAATGAGATTGTCTGTGTATACTAAATAAGGTACAGGCTGACTAATTAGCTGAGGAGAACAGGCTCTACTGTCCTGGCTCGGAAGAAAAACATTTATAAATAAATGAGGGGCCAAGATGCAGCCCTGCCTAACACGTCTTCTTATCCTGATTGGGTTTGAGAGAGTGGAGCTACCTGGTAGATGAATCTGAAGAATATTTTCAGAATATAAATTCCTAATAAGCACCAGCAATCTTCAGGCATGCCCATGTTAAAAAGTTTCCCCCCCAAAGTCTGCTGAGAGACACAGAATTGAACGCACCACAAGATCACAGAGAAGCGGACACTACACTATCTGCTATCAAGTAGATGGGCAAACTGCGTGAGAGATGGGGCCATTTTTCTCTTTATAGTGTCAAGGGGAGCTGACTTTCGTTCTCACGTTTTGTTTCCTTTTTTTGTGAGAAACTGGATGAATAGCTAATGGCTGCTAAATCTAGGGAAAGGAATACCCATTTTGTGTGAGCCATACATCCCAGAAACTGGTTCCTATATGGACCATGCATGTGTAAAGATTATTGCAATCTAGTACATTTTGTGTCTGAATAATCTCCAATTTTTACAGATACCTGACTACTGCTTTGATGAGGGTTATGAAGATTTCCATAATCTAAACTTCTTAACTGAAACAAATCAAACCATCTTAACAAGCCTTTGCAGCACAGTGATCTCCCTGGAACACTCTATGCAGGATTTGCTCCGAGATGCCAAGGAGAAATTCAGGAACTGGGTTGCTTGTTCCATTGTGGAAGGTGTAGATTCTGGTTATAAAAAGGTAACTTTGGCATGGTAAATGATGCTGATATTAGATGTTAGAAATGGAAGTGATTAGTGTTGGACTAGGATCTGGGAGGAACCAGGTTTGAATTCCCATTCTGCCATGGAAGGTTGTTGGGTGACCTTGGGCCCGTCACATACTCCCAACCCAAACTTCCTCACAGGGTTGTTTTGCAGATAAAATGGAGGGAAGAACAACATGAGCTTCTTTAGGTCCTCATGGGAGAGGAGGGTGGGGTATAACTGAAGTAAATAAAAAATTGAATATGTTATGAAATTGACATGACAGTTGCCTGGTAGTATCTTTCCCAATCTGAAAAATACCCAGCCTTTCTCCTTGCAAGAATTGGTTAAAAGATGATGTTAGGATGGCACTTCTACAGTTATTTATGCTAAGCACCCTTTAGGATGTTGTGGCATGACATCCATAATGAGAGAAGGAACAATGTAGAGCCTAAAATAGCAATCGCTTTCTACAGTCCTTACTGGAGCAGCATGGATTCTAGCTGTATGTAATTGCATGGCTAGCACATAGATCTCAGTAACCATAACCCAGCACAGATGACCCCTCAGTGTGTCAACTCACTGCATGGAGAGGGAGAACAGTCCCCGGCTCTGTGTGCTTACTGACTTGCAGGGCTTTTTTTGTAGAAAAAGCCCAGCAGGAACTCATTAGCATAATAGGCCACAACCAACAGCAGAAACTCATTAGGATATTAGACCACACCCATGACAGTGCAGCTCATTAGCATATTAGGCCACACCCCATGCCTTCCCTTGGCTTGCCCAGGCACCCCACGGAGGGGAGAGGAGGCAGTTTAAACTGCCTTCCCTTGGCTTGTCTGGGCGCCCCCTGGCTGCAGGGAACCTGGGCAAGCCCCCCCCCCGAAGAGAAGGTAGTTTAAACTGTCTTCCCTTGGCTTGCCGGGGAAGGCACGGGGAGGCATTTAGATGGCTCCCTGATCCTTCCAGGGCCTCCCTGGCCTGCCCACCTTGGAGTCGCCGGTGGGTCACTCTCCAGGCCTTCACTCTGTAGCCATGCACACAGAGGTTTTGGCTGTAGTGAGCGCGGCCAACTCTGAAGCCAGCCGGAACTCCGTTCCTGTGTGTTCCTGCCCAAAAATAGCCCTGCAGTGACTTGTGGACACAAGAAGTGCCTGCACCTTTGCACCTTCCTCATGAGCAGCAATGCTGTTTGCCAAACATTGCTGATTATGGGGAGGGGGAGTGTGCATGGGTGTTGACACCATGCAGACAACTCTGATTGCAAGGTGGTGGGGCTAGTGTGTACAGGCCACATTTTCCATCCCCACAATCAATGCACAGATGGGTTGTTTGCACAAGACTACCATGAACTTGAGAAACAGCTCAGCAACATTCTCTGTCAGTCCCTAACAGTTAATCTGTCTTCCAAGGTGGAAGATAACTGTTATCTCCGTTTATGGAGAGCTTCTGTTGAAATTGATGCCACCCCTAAAGCTGTTCTACACCGTGTACTGATGGAACAGCATCTGTGGGACCCAAGACTTCAGCAGTCAAAGATCCTAGAGGTCTTAGATGATGACACAGACATCTATCACTACACAACAGAGAGCATGTCTCCACTTCCTGGACGAGACCATGTGATCCTAAGGTAAAGCTCTCCCTGCTGTTTACTGGTGTGATTATGGTGTGGGAGGGAGACAGACCTAAAAAGAATAATTAATCCCCCTCCCAAGGACTCATCCTAAACAAGCTCTTCTCTTACAGTGCATGTTTATTCCCATTAGTTTCTCTGTGGCAACAATGTATCCCCATGCAGACTGAGCATTCTAACAGAATATGCTCATAATGGATAGTTTTGCTGCAGTAATAACATGTCTCAGAGGTGTTTCTTGGACACAGAGTAAACTGGAGAAAGTGTGGCTTTTGTCATTGGGTAACTTGACACATCTACTTTATCGTTTAGAAATTTCCTGTTATCAACCTATTGTAATGAATAGATTTTTAAGAAGAGTTTGGAAAGCATCTCAGGACCTTTGTTCAGCTAACGGCAAATAAACAGTATATATGATTTTGGTCTGTATTAATTTTCAGGACTTGGCGAACTGATCCTCAAAGTGGGACTTGTGTGCTAGCAGCTACCTCAACAGAGAGTGAAGGTGCTAAATTGAATGGGATCCTTGCTAAGGTCTTTCTGTGTCAGTTCCTTATAGAAGCAGTTGGCTCCCATAAATCCAAAGTGACACACGTTTGTCGAATAGATAAAAGGTACTTTTTTCATTTGACTCATAGAATATTTAGATTTGGTAACATTCTAACCTGTGGGTTTTGAGGAAAAGGGTTCCTTCAAAAAGATCTGATACTTAAATATGAATGTTAGTACTGAACAGGCATGCACAAATTATTTTACCTTATGACTACTCTATTTGTTGCTATTCTATTTCTGCACAAATATGGAATATGATTGGGAGCAATCTATTTGATTTAGTAAAATTATTCCAAGTGATAGTCCTATAAAGTGGCATATAGAATTTTTTATTCCCCCCCTCCCCCCCCCGGTTTGGAACTTGTTGATATTCCAGTGAACACAAAATACTAAAGTGTTTTTATATGCCCAACTAAACTGTGGGCCTATTTTCAGATAGCAATTTCTGCTTGTGGCTTTTTGTAAACACTAGTATTTTACTGCTGATACAGTAAAATAGTGAGAGAGAAAATTGTGGCAACTGCCTGAGATGTTGTTTTATTTCTTTACAGGGGCCAGACACTAGAATGGTACAACAGGGCTTTTGGTTACATTTGTTCTGCAGAACTGATAAGGATTAAAGAGTCCTTCAGAACTTCACAGTGACTTTCTGGTTTTGGACAAGGCAATGAGTGGTGCCCAAAACGGTTTATCCCCCAGAATCTGAGCAAAGGTTGACTAGATTATATTATTTTGATCAGCTAAGAGTGCTACATAGAAATTAAATGTTACTAGCATTTTATGAGGGGATTTTTTTGTCTTCTGTTGAAGCATGTTCTTGAACTGGCAGACACTATGCAACATTTTAGATAGGTAATCTTTTCATCATATAAATTTTAATATAAAACTATCAGAGTTAAGTTATTTTTAAAAAGAACACCTTAACGTGTTCTAAATATATTTTAATTTGTAAAATGTGGGACATATTTTTCAAATGTTATAATAAGGCACAAGTAGAAACAAACTGTCCAGCTCTTCAGCTGGTTTTCTGGTTTAAGCATTACCTGTTAGCAGTTAATGACAGACAGCCCTGCTGCATCTGTATAAAGATGAAAGAGGTGTGCCTTTTACCATCAAAAAGCTGTATGTAAAGGTTAAAATTGTATGTAGGAATATATGTTTTGTTTTGTAAGCACAATCCTGCCTCAAAATGATGGCAAAATGGGCACTTTAGTTCTTAAAGGTGAATATGATTTTCCTTTGCTGGCTTGGTAGTTTTTAACAATGCAGTTTTGAAACTTAAGAGAACTGACTGGTATAGCAGTGGTAGCTGCTGTCCTAACTGAAGTCAGTACTGTGTTGACATATTCATCTGCCATTTGATTGTCAATAATATTGTTTGAATTTCTTAATCAGTGTAACACAATTATGGCAGCTCATTTCATTTGTTTTTAATAATCTAATATTAAGCAGCAAATAATAAAATGTTTTTATTGGTTTAAGATCACTTATGCACCCACTACTGCTTAGTCTGTTAAAGCCAGCTCTGCTCTGCTGAGTTGTACCCACAAAGAATGTCAAACCCTTAAGTTTCATTGGCTCCAATAGGACAAACTTGCAGGGAACTTTTGGGGCAAGAACTAACTTAAGTAATTTTCCTACACATGGTCTCAGAGCATTGTGCATACCAGATGATGCAGGTTAAAAAACCCAGTAGGATCTCTGTATACTGAGAGATACTGAGAATGTTTTGATTTTTTGTTGAACAACCTCAGGTAGCGCACACACCATGCATACAGGTCAAACCATTGTTGTTAAGCATGTAACTGACAGAATGCCAAAGGTACAGCTATTATATCTGCCCAATCATTAATCTCAGTATTATTTGAACATATTGCTGAACTCATTTTTGAATGTGAGCTATTGTTGCTTTGCAAACAAAAGGGAAATCTAAAATTAAATGACAAATGTCACTGCACTTGAAATTTTAGAAAGGCAAGCTTAAATGTTGCAAAACTGAGATCCTATCTGTGTAAGAAAAAAGAACATCACGACATAAATGCAAACAAGCAGTTCTCCCATTTTTAAAATAGACATGTTTTGTTCTTGAAGTCTGTATTATTATGTACTTGTATTTGCAAAAACTCTCTTATGTAAATAAAATGGCTTAGAATGGGCTCAGACAACACACCTAATAAAGGTGAAGCATTCAAATGACTGCCTTATGTTTGGTTGCATAGGCATATTACTTTCTCTTCTTCTGCAAAATTCAGTCTTGTGAAAAAAGTGAGTATGTAGCCAGAGGGGAGAGAAGATCTTCCCAGGAGGGCATCCTTCTTTGGTTGACAGAGTATACAATCTAAACTTAATGACCCAGAACTACATACCCCACATACCAATTGGTCGGACTATGGTATTTTATCATTTCTTTGAATGTTCCCATAGCAGCTGAGAGACAGTGAAACTTAACTTGCATCATTTTTATTTTCCAATACTGAGCCATGATGGTCATAACAATTGACGTAGGTAAGTCTGTTAAACTACTTTCAAAGCACTGTATAGTTACATCTTCTGGACAGGCTTGATCCCCAAGATGTCAAAACCTTTGGCCATAACTGCAGCTGTGGCCTCACACAAGAGCATTCGCCACATGTTCACATTCACTATTTTACCTGTGTGAGGAAAAGATTAAAGTCAAGTAATCAGATGAACAAGAATGTATACCCCAGTGACTTTTCTAGCTTCCTGCTATATACACTGTCTTAGTTGGATAAATCACTCCTAAAGCGTGTTTTTGATGACTACAGCCAAACTCAACTCTGCTACACCATTCCCTCTTACATGGTATTCAGGATAAAAGATCTGGGTATCCCACAACCTTTCACAAACTTGAGAAACTCTGTAAGTTTGTGGCTACAACAAAAACCTTGATAGTATTTGTACTATGACCCATGTAAACCTAAACACAGCATCATGCTTCCACTTTATCTCTTCTCATCCTTTTCTGAAAACAGTTAACTCACCAGTTTGTCTGTCTTTTTCCACACAATAGCAATTGTCATAGAATTCAGTAAAAGTGGTGGCTAGCTCATAGAGGTAATCACAAAGGGTATGCAGTAGGAGGTCATCCAGGATCTTCTGCAAAATTTCAGGGAATCTCAAAATGCATTTGCCTAGCTTCCATTCTTTCTCATGGTCCAGTATTATTTCAGTTGTTCTCGCTGCATTTTGCAATGTCCCATCATTGATATTGGCAAGCCGTGCTATAGATCTGCCAAAGAAGCGAGCTTAGTGTTATACTTTTAGGTACCAAAAAGTCAATTATCTGTCCCTAGTGTCTTACATATATATTGAAAATACAACAACGAGGTAAGAAGCAATGTGGTATAGCTCCAGACAAAGAAACTGTTTTGTATATATTGTTTTATCATGGCAAGTTGTTCTTGCCTCTGTGAGCCGCCCTGAGCCCACTGGGGAGGGCGGGGTATAAGTATGAAAATAAATAAATAAATAAATAGTTTTTAAATCTACATTTGAAACCAAGACCGTGAAATAATCCCGCTTCTAGAACTCTTAGAAGAAGAGATTAGATTTATACCCCGCCCTTCACTACCCAAAGGTGTCTCACAGCGGCTTACAAACACCTTTCCCTTCCCCTCCCCACAACAGACACTTGGTGGGGCTGAGAGAGCTCTTGACAGAAACTGCTCTTTTTCAAGAACAGCTGTGCCAGAGCTTGTGACTGACCCACGGTCACATCAGCAGGTGCAAGTGGAGGAGTGGGAAATCAAACCTGGTTCTCCCAGATTAGAGTCCACGCACTTAACCACTACACCAAATGCCTGAAACACACCCTCAGCCTGTAACTGTCAGAAACAAACATTTTTCTAATAGGTACAAAGTAGGTAAGCTTTGTATCTCCAATTTAACACTGCAACTTGTGAAAAAGGCTGTATTTCAGTACTATCCCTACCTAATTCGAGTGAAGGCATAAAGCAAATAAGCAGCTGTATTTCCCCGATCATCCAGCATCTTATCAAAAGAGAAGATATAATCATTGATTCTATTATGGGAAAGATCAGCATACTTAATGCAGCCAAAGGCAACTGATGTCTGAGCTGCCTTTAGTTCTTCTGGGCTGAGAACCTGCAAGAGAAAAGAATGCCCATTATATTGCAACACTACAAAAAAAAAAAAGCACAAATATCAGAAAAACTTATAAAAGATATCTTGCTACAAGGTATAAATACACATGTTTTGGGCCACTGTAAATACTGGTTTACTGCGGCATAAGGTTTTGTTGGTTAAAGATCACTTCATCAGATGGCTGCAGTATGTCTATATGCCTAATAGAAAGGTCATCTGTGACATTTCTGTGCACCATCTAGAGGAAAAATATGCAGCGTGATGTTCACAACAGCAACAAAGGCAACCACAATCTTCTTAGACATACTAAGCAAACAGTGAGATATCTTGTGTCTTCTACTGTCCTTTGAATGCATTGTTTATATTTTTTCTGTTAGGCCAATTGTATATATGATCTGCAAAGATTCACTTCATGTATCAGATGAAGTTGTTGCCATGCAAGCCTATCAATGTGTTTTTATGGACTGTATGGACTGTATGGACTGTACAACATGGTGACCTGTTGACACTGCACACCTGAAAGAGGGACACCTTCCTTTAGTGTTGCTGCTCCAGTGGTAGTCCAGAGCTACCAGCCATCTTGCCTGCTGTGAGATGAAGCAGTTCCATAAGCCGGCACAAAGCCTCAGACGCCATGCCATGGAAAACACGAGGACAGAGAACTCCAGATGCCATTAGGAGTTTCTTCCAGCACATGTAGGCAACCCCTTCCCCCCCCTCCTCCAGACCTGCAAAGCTGCACGTAGCTCTGAGACTCATCATAGTTGCTTAGCAATTAATCACTCATCCATCAGCAAGCCGGCTAGGGCCATCAAGAGACAATAGCCTTAACCTGATGACTCATCTCACCTGCATCCAGGTGCCAGCCTCCAGTCTAAGTTTCTAGATCTCAATATTGACCAACCCCTGGCTCTCCTCCCCCTCTCCTTCCAACCAATAGTATGTTTTAAGGGACGGACTAACAGGAGGTGTCACAGGGGTGTGTGGCCAGCCTAGCCTGGCCCCCCCCATACCACATCATAAAAGGTACTACTCAACCACATGCTCTCTCTCCCTCTCCACGACCCCTGTTGAAGCTTAACCCTTTTATGTCCACCTTACCTCCATCTTTAAACTCTAGATCTGCAGCTAGAATCCACGTGGTTCTGCCGGTTCAGAGCACGTGTTCCCCATCTTCTATTTATAACCCCTCCATTTTTCCATTGGAACGGCTCAATCAATGAGGACAGGTAAATATCACCCAACCAACGAATGTCCAGCAAATGTGCTTATGATCTATCTTTAATTCTTTGTATATGTGTGTGCGTGCTTGTGTATTGTTTGAATGATAAATATTCTCCAGTAAAAAGACATCATACTATATTGAATACAGTCTCCGTTTCTGGTACTTACAGTAAAGGCGGGGCTTCCGTATACAACGGTGTTTGTTCCCTAATTTGCCTATTGCCAATTAATAATCATATTTCCCCAATATTAATTAAGAAATTAAGGCAATTTGGCTAACAAAGTGAACTGACCCACAAGATTCCTTTAACTCGGGCCTCTGCAATTCCTGAAGTTTGTTCATGGTGCTTAGAGCTCCAGTGATCCTCCCCTGGTGAACTTCGTTACAGAGTTTAAAAGGAGGGAAAGGGGGAGTCAAGCCCTTGAAAGGAACACCCTGCACAACTTCTCGCACAGAGCTAATTTGTTGTTAGGATATGAGTTCTGCAAACAGCTCAATGGCTGCTGGCTCTCCTTTGCTGTCTTCTGCCACAGCAGGGGGGAAAGCTGAAGGCAGGCAGGTGGCTGTGCTTGATGGGGGTGGACAAAGGTAAGAGACTTTTCCCTGAAGGGTATGGGAAGGGGAGAAACTTGGCCAGGAGAAGAAGTAATAAGTCTTGGAACCAACTGGAATAATTGAGAACACAAATAACATTGTGAGTAGTTTTATATTCGGGCTTAGTTTACTGATTATATACGCACAATTATGATCCACATTTACTGAATCATTGAAGTGGGGCTCCTGTTTGATATTTATTCATCCTGCGCCCCCCCCCCCAACTCCATGCTTAAACTGAAAAGAGAATAATTCTTGGGTATAATTTCCTTCTGTTTCCGTTACACAGCAATCTAGTGGTAGCTGTTGGCCTGCCTAACATTTGCATAAACAAGAGACTTGAGCCTCCAAAAACTTATGTGGCAATATGTCTTTTAGATGGTGTACATTACTTGCTTTTGTTAACACAAACTTAACATGGCTATGCCACTGGAACCCGTAAGTTCATGCCCAGTTTGTTTACATTCAGATGAATCAAGTGTGCATGATGCTTTTATAGAGCACAAGAAGACAAGTCCCTGCCCCACAGAACTTACAACCTAGAATCTGAGACAAGGAAGATGACAGAGAGAGGGAGGGAAAATGGAGGTGGGGAAGAATGTGTGTTCATTCCAATGACATATACATGGGCCTATCTCTTCTCATGCAATATATCCAGGGAAACATCCTCACATGCACAAAACATTTTGCTCCCCATTTGAAAGACAACGAAGAAACAGTTCTGATGTTCTAGTCTCTTACAGTATGGCCTGACCTGCTCAATGTAAGGCTGCCAACTAGTGTGGAGAAAAAATTACTGTCCCTTTAATACAGGGTTCATGTGTGGAAATACACTGTTGAAGCTTTTGTGGCATGGAGGGAAATATTACCTGATAAATAACAGCCCATTAGTGCTCTATTAAAGAGGCAGGGCATTTCCCCCCCAGCTGGTTTGCAACCCCATTCATAACATGGAGGCAACATTAAAATTGCTTAATATGACAAAAAAAATTGCATTTGGTACAACTACATTTGGGCCCCTTAATTTTGGGGCTGGCTCCTAGCTTCAAAGAAAATCTGTCAAGACCTGCTGTAACTGATAAGTGACAAGGAATAGCAATGGCTGTGAAGCAGATCTCAGAGGAAGACTGAACTTCCCCAAGACATCAGAAGGGCTCCTTTTTGTACTGCATGATAAATTACCATCCCAACTACATATACCCCCGTGTCACTGCAAAATGTTCATCCTGCAGTAAGTGAAGCAAGCCTTTACTGTACTCCGAAGAAACCGTAACAAGAACACAAGGCACGATAAGTTTATGTTCCGTCTCTACCACTATGGCAATTCCCATACTGCTTCTACC